CCTCCTTCTTTCTTTTTCTTTTTTCTTTCTTGTTAACAGTAACACAGCATATTTCGGTTTGCTGGAAATATGCAAACCGAAGTCTGGCGAAACAATCGTCATCAGTGGAGCCGCAGGTGCGGTCGGCTCACACGTGGGCCAGATCGCTAAAATTTTGGGCTTAAATGTTATCGGTATATGCGGCTCCGATGAGAAGTGTAAGTGGCTTACTGAGGAAATGGGTTTCGATTTTGCCATCAATTACAAGACCGTACCAGTCTCAGCCAGATTACGCGAAGTTGCTCCGCAAGGCGTGGATTGCTACTTTGACAATGTACGTATTAATAATTGTGCCTTTTATATATAATTTAACGCAATTAAACACAAATTTTTCGATATGATCAAAGATGACTTTCATGTATAGTTTTCAAACTTTTTATGTTACATCAAATTCTATTAATATTGTAATTATCAATGATTTCTATTATTTGTATATATATTTTCACTATAATTAGTTTACAATTATATATAAAATTATTCAAATTAATAACGGGATGTTTTTTTAAGATTTTCCGTGATTTTTTTTTGTAATACGTAAATAATTAAAACGATCAATTTACTTTCCTCTTTATTCCTTTCTTTCAAAAATTAAACATACTTTTGATAATTCTAAAGTTAACATAAATCTATTTTAAAATATTATGTTCTGAAAAATATTATGTTCTTCTCTGTGATTAGTTATTGAGATCTAATCCATGCTTATTGAATTTACAGGTCGGTGGAGATATCGCTGGTACAGTCATGTATCAAATGAATCTGTATGGTCGGGTAGCCGTGTGCGGCAGCATCTCAAGCTATGACGCCAAGTCCTTGCCCAAGTGTACAATTTTGCAACCTGCTATATTGTTAAACCAACTGAAGGTAGAGGGCTTTATTGTCAAACGTTGGTTAGACCGATGGAATGAAGGAATCATGCAAAATCTTCGATGGATACGCGAGGGCAAGCTTCGTTACCGTGAGACCGTAACTAAAGGCTTTGAGAATATGTTCGATGCCTTCATCGGCATGATGCGTGGCGAGAACATCGGCAAAGCAATCGTCCAAATATAGATATCATGATATCAACAGGCATTTCTTCTTAATATTCCTGCTCATTTATAATTTTACAATTGCATTTGAAATGTTTTCTATATTTGTGCTTAATGTTTTTTTAAATAATAATCATGCATTTAGACATTTAAATTTTGTAGGGAAAACCATGAATTATTATAAATATGGAATGGAATTTATGTAATCGATAGAGATATTCTATTTTTATATGAAAATTGGGATCCAGTTGATAAGAATCCATTAAGATCGTTTATATGTATATTATGTACACATCTTATCTATCGAACATGTATGTGTAAGTCGCATTCTGATTAGCAGAATTTTTCTTCGATGAATATGATATAATTATTATATGTAATGTATTATATAACTAACTGTTGTAATTGCGATGAAAATAAAGATAATTTAGATAAATTAATTCTAATAGAATTATCATTCTGTTAATGTGATAATACTATTCATAATTTTTATTTTAGCACTTACCTAGCAGAATCGTAGATCAGTTATAATAATTCAAATATTATAACTGAGTTATAGTTCATATTAAGTTAATATTAAGTTATAGTTGCATATATATATATATATATTTTCACTAATTAGTTTACAATTATATATAAAATTATTCAAATTAATAACGGGATGTTTTTTAAGATTTTCCGTGATTTTTTTTTTATAATAAATAATTAAAATGATCAATATACTTTTTTCTTTATTCCTTTCTTTCAAAAATTAAACACACTTTTGCTTTGATAATTCTAGAGTTAACATAAATCTAATTTTAAAATATTATGTTCTGAAAAATATTATGTTCTTCTCTATAATTAGGTATTGAAATCTAATCCACGCTTATTAAATTTGCAGGTCCCCGGTGAGGATATTTCTGGTACAGTCATGTATCAAATAAATCTGTATGGACAGCTGTGTGCGGTAGCATCTCGAGCTACGACGCCAATTAAATTACTGGATAAGATTTTGATAAGCTTTATCTGTAATCTCTTTACCCCTATTTTAAGGTTGCGTTTTGAGAAGCGCGCTATAAGTGCTGTTTGTGTAATATTATCTTTGTAATTATCTTGTGTAATTTATCTTACGTCTAATGATGAAGATAGAAATAATGACATAAATAGCGCTCCCCAAACGCAGTCTATTATGAATTGAGCTTATTTCAGTATATAAACGCATTCGGATTATTTATATTACTTGCGAGTATAAAAGATCATGGAGAATAAGTTCAAAGCAGTGCGACGTGAGCTGTCATGAATCCCAGAGGCGCGATTTCGTAATTGTCTTTGCACGCCTATCGAATAAAATGAAATTGTATAAATTGTACAAATTGGAATTTCTGCATTAAATATAAAATGTGAATACATGTGCAAATTTGTAGCTATGACCACGTGACAGTCAATATTTCTAGCTTTGTGGATTGCTACTTTGATAACGTACGAATTTATAAAATATTGTATTTTTTTTTATTAAACGCGAATTTTTTATTAAACCTGACTTTTTTCAATATGATCAAAGATAGTCATTCTATCAAAAATGGAAGATTATCGTTTGCTGTAACTCAAAATTTTTACGTTATCATAATTAATCAATACAACAATACCGATTTTCCAATATCTTGTTTAAAAAGTCCGATAGAATAAAATAGGAAAAAAACTCTATCTGATTAAATCGTATTTTTGGTTTGTAAATTTTATTTTTTAGATTATTTATCTGAAATATTTTATAGATTTTATATCTACAAAAATCTTCACTGAATCAATTTACTTTATGGATCACATTTTTTTTCACATATGATTATATTTGACATTTCTAATAATCATATAATACAAAAAAATTGTTTGATATAAATCCATTGGGGGCACAAAAATAGTCCTGTGACTCTTTCCAACATTTATTGACTTTGGAGGTCAGTGGAGGTATCTCTGGTATGGTCACATATCAAATGAATCCGTTTGGTTGGGCCGTGTGTGGCAGCCTCTCGAGTTATAACGCGGATCTGGTCTTAAAGGTTTCTGCAATCTGCTATATTGTTAAACCGATTGAAGATGGAAGGTTTTATTGTTAGACGTTGGTCGGACCGATGGAATGAAGGAATCATGCAGAATCTGCAATGGATACGCGAGGGCAAACTTCGTTATCTTGAAACTGTGACTAATGACTTTGAGAATATATTTGATGCCTTTGTCGGCTTTGCGCGGCGATAACATCGTTAGCCTAGTTAGATAGATTAATATCGGCAAAGCGATCGTTCAGGCTTAGATATCAATGCGCGCGTTTGGCCGGACAAAACTGTTCGCCGAGTGATTGAATATGATTGGTTGACTCTATAAGTAATAACCATATTTATTTGTTCAGTAAGCAGATTAGCTGCTTTGACTTGAACACTCAGTCCAATTAGGCATTCCAAAGATATTTCTTACAAGTATTTTTGTTCGTTTACAATTTCACAATTATATTTGCAATGTTTTCCATATTTTTGAAAAATTGAAAACACGAATTTCGAATTTTATATTCTCAGAGATCCTTAATTTTTTTAATAATAATCAAACATTTAAACGTTTAAAGTGCGTAATTAATCAGCATATATTTGAGAATTAAAACATCTGTTTGCGTTACATCCAAACTTTGACTAAAAAAAGTTAGATATTCTTAAATCTCAAAAAGTTGGATATTCTAAAATGTCGTAAATATAAATTATTTTAGTATATTACATGCTCGCGTATAAAATATATGTGAATTAGCGCATAATTTATGTGAATTAAACGTATGCATTAAACTACGCATACGCCATGTCACAAATGAATATTTCCAATGTTAAAATAAATTTTTTTTCACAAATAATTGTATCTATTAATTTTTTATTATGACTTTGTATATACATACATATGATTCAATTTCTTGGCGATTATGAATTTAGAATATAGAAAAACTTTATATACAGTATTTATAAGAATATATTAGTTAAATTAACTGTTAATCTTAATTTATTGCCTTTTTAATATGGTACTTGTTAATACAACAAAATTTCCATTTCAGCGTTTATCTCCTAGAATATGAATACTATCGATAAGATATGATGATTCACAATATTCGACTTCCAAAATACCGGTCAAAAGGTTTCACAAGCTTCGGTCTGTTTGACTATATGAAGTCTGTCCCAAAAATATTCTCTGCATATATCTTTAATCTTGAGCATCCTATTATGGAAAGCAGATTTTATTATTATATGCAAGTATTTACAGTGGACTTTTAGAAGTATTTCCACCAAGCGACATGATCCCTGATAGCAGTCGGCAATGATACGCAGTTGTGTGAGCGTCGAAAACTCTGAGTGTCGCATTTCACAATGACTGAATGATAATGCACCTGCTCATTCAGCTCACCTGATTTAGAAGTTTTTAACTAAACAGCATTATTCAACTTCATCGCAGTCCAGAAATAGCCTCGTGTGACTTTCGGTTATTTCCTAAGTTGGAACATCCGTTGAAGAGCAAAAGATTTGACGATATTGAGAAAATAAAATAAAATGCGACGAGGAGACTGTTTGCTATCACAATAAATGACTTTCAGGATTGCTTTCGCAAGTGATTGACAGAAGGTCAAGGTTGTTTCGAAAAAAAAATTATTTTAAAGAAAGTTTCATATCACTCCGAATAGCTCTTTCTCATGATACAGGCAAAGATTGGATACTTTTGAGACAGACCTCGTACTTTTTAAGAGTTAATGTCAATCTATCTTACGTATCCGCGCATTTCAAACAATTTGTAAACAATTTTTACAAAAAGATCATGTTTAAATCAATACAGCGTGAGATATCGTGGGACCGTTGTCGTTTCATTGCTCGTTCCCTTCACAATAATGGTGAAATTGCATTGAAGATTCCGAGAAATGTTTGCATTCGAAATTTTTCGTCGCAATCACATAAGATAGTAAAAGCAAGGAAATATGTGGTAGTAAATCATTTTGTTAATGAAGCGAAGCCGACGGATCTAAAACTGGTGGAAGAAGAGCTGCCGCTGTTGCAGAATGGAGGTAAAAAGAAAAGACGTCAATGTCCAGCTGTTAATCCGATATATACTGTCAGTATTGAAAATCTATAATATTTGTAACATGAACTATAGTTTTCAGTACTGACAATGTCGGAATACTTTTCATCTATGAGCGCATTAATGAGCGTATCCATTATTACAAACGGGCGATGTAATTATCCAATATGTTCTCCCAGTATTTTTTGTGAATATTAAAAAAAATGAGTTAGAAAGACATAGGAAAAATTGATAAAATTAAAAAATTAAAAAGGATTCATTTGTTATAAGTTTTATATATATAAAGGAAGAGAAATTCAAGGAACACACAAAGATTAATAAAAAATCAAAATGACTTTATTTTGATTTTTTGACATAGAAAGTTGTAGCTCCTTTTTTATTTTCTTCTTTATTTGATTTTTTAAATAATTAATAAATACAATTTAGGGCAAATAAATTTATATTCAAGAAAATAACAAATTTGAAGATATTAAAACAATTAAAATAAATATATAAAATATATAAAATATAAATAAGAACTCTCAATCTTAAACAATAAAATATAAATAATAATCCAGATAGGACTAATGAGAATCATACGCTGTTGTAAGAGCGGAAAGATAGGAAAAACAAATAATCCTCAGGTGTTGCTGGTTATCTTCATTCATCAATTTATTTCGAAAGCATATCACTTGTAGATTGAGTAAAAAGAAGTTCTGAGTTTCGTTTTTATCGTTTCCCATTGAATGTAATGTATGCTGCATTTCTGGCAATCTGGAAGTGACTTGCCTTTAATGAAAAAAATTGTTGATTTTGTATTCGCTAAGAATGATTTCAAAAGGAGCAGAAACGTTCAGAATAAATTGAAGATAATCAGCAACCTAAGGATTATTATTTTCTGTTTCTCCTATCTCTCCGCTCTTACAATAGCTCTTATGATTCTCATTAGCCCTATCTGGATTATTATTATTTATATTTTATTGTTTAAGATTGAAAGTTCTTATTTATATTTTATATTTTATATATT